AAAGTTAGCCTGCACACTGCATTGTAACAAATGCACCACTCGGGCTTCCTTCCTTCCTTCCTTCCTTCCTTCCTTCCTTCCTTCCTTCCTTCCTTCCTTCCTTCCTCCCAAGCAATAGCAGACTTATATACCACTTCACAGTGCTTTCCAGCCCTCTCTAAGCAGTTTACAGAGTCAGCCTATGGCCTGCAACAATCTGGGTCCTCATTTTACCGACCTCGGAAGGATGGAAGGCCGAGTCAACCTTGAGCCAGGTGAGATTCAAACTGCCAAATTGCAGGCAGCTGGCAGTCAGCAGAAGGAACCTGCAGTACTGCACTCTAACCACTGCGCCACCATGGCTCTCCCAGGCTCTCTAGGTCAGAAGGATGTGACTCTAAGCAAACTAAAAGCCTTTGAGGTCGAGGTATCCCTCACCTATTGCTTAATCTACTTCTGGTAGTTCCACCTTCTTTCCTACAACATTCTCACCCACCAAACAATCCTCAGCTATGAAAATAGGGACAGGACCCCTGCATGTTTTCCCTCCAACCAACAAGAAGAACTAGTTGGTAAAAAAAAAAAACAGGTTGGTGCCACCAGCAATCTGATTCTTCTTGCTGGAAAAATTGATCAACCCAAAGGCTGATTGGCAGAGTGGCTCAGAGGAAAAGGGGGAAAGGGAAAGTGTGACTATGATGCATTGCAAAGGTACACACCTGCATCCAATTTTGGTCACCATACTATAAAAAAGATGTTGAGACTCTAGAAAGAGTGCCGAGAAGAGCAACCAAGAGGATTAGGGGACTGGAGACTAAAACATACAATGAACGGTTTCAGGAACTGGGGAGACATGATAGCAATCTTCCAATATTTTAGGGGCTGCCACAGAGAGGAGGAAGGGGTCAAGCTATTCTTCAAAGCACCTGAAGGCCAGACAAAGAACAATAGATGGAAACTGAACAAGGAGAGATTCAACCTGGAAATAAGGAGAAATTTTCTGACAGTGAAAGCAATCCACCAATGGAACAGAAGTTGCCTTCAGATGTTGTGGGAGCTTCATCCCTGGAAGCTTGGAAGAAGAGAGTGGACTGCCATCTGTCAGAAATGGTGTAGGGTCTCCTGCTTGGGTGGAGGGGTTGGACTAGATGACCTACAAGGTCCCTTCCAACTCTGTTAATCTGATCCTCATGTGAATGGATCAGCTTGGACCTCATCCTATCTGACAGAGGAGAGGAGAGCTACTCCTATTGCTCTCATTCCTTCCTGCCTAACAGAAACCAGTCCACTGCTTGGCTTCTCCAATCCTCAAGTTACCATGACACTCTGGAGTCTTGGGTACCGTTCTTTTTTTTTTGTGATGTTCCAGGCAGATGTTCTTGCCTTTGGAGGTCACATAGTCCAAGTTACAACCTCCCACCAACCTCCCTAGGCTCCTAATGGAGCCAGATGGGCCTGGAGCGTGATTGGCTGAAGGTTCTTAGGTGAGAGGTCAAGTCACAATGAAACTCACCGCTTGCCTAATAATCCATAAGCTGGTTTTTATTTCTTTATTTGTATCCCTCTTTGATTATTTTTGCAAAATAACTCAAAGGTGGCAAACATATCCAACAGACCTTCTTCCTCTTATTTTCCCCACAGGAATAACCCCGTGAGGTGGCTTGGACTGAGAGAAAGCTTTCATGGCTAAAGTGGGACTAGAACTCACCATCTCCTAGTGATTGGCCCAGAGTCACCCAGCTGGCTTTCATGGCTAAGGCAGTGCCAGAATTGACATACTCCTGCTTTCTAGCCTGGTGCCTTATTGTCACATCAGTCACATATTATAGATTCCAAACCTCAAAAGCTAAACCAAATAAATCAGATTTATTTATTTTTATTTTTAGAGTGATATCTAACAGCTCAGGGTTGCATTTGTGACACTGCTTCCTTGTTTGGCTAGAAGATGTTTCGCTTCTCATCCAAGAAGCTTCCTCAGTTCCGACTGAATGGGGGAAGGGTTTATATTCCTTGCAGTTGTCTGCAGGGCACAGTTAACCTTCCAAATGGCCTCGATGACACTCAGAAAGAATGCTAAAGACCAGATGACTGCAAGGGATATAAATCCTTCCATTCTCCACCAGCCAGCCAGAACTGAGAAAGCTTCTGGGATGAGAAGCGAAATGACTTCTAGCAAAACAAGAAAAGTCCAGTTGCCGTTTGAAAGAAAGAAGCTTTGGGATAACCGTAACTTGAGACGACTGAAAATCTCCATAGGCACACTTCCTCTGTTATTTACATCAGGGATCCCTAACGCCCAGTCCATGGACCACCAAGGAGCCACGGCATGCTAGAAACTGGGCCATGGGAACAAGTAAAGCCCCATCTGAGGGATGCAGGCAGGACTTGAAACCACTCCCCACAGAAAAATCTCTCTCCACGGGACCAGTCCCTGGTGCCCAAAAGTTTGGGAGCCACTGGTTTCCTTCATTCACGTAATATGCCTCCCATATTTCGTATGGCACAAAGCAGTGGTGGGATTCAAATTTTTTTACTACTGGTTCTGTGGGCATGGCTTGGTGGGCGTGGCAGCGGAAGGATACTGCAAACTCTCCATTCCCTCCCCACCCCACTAACCTGCTTTCCAGCTCCGTTCTCCTGTGCAGGGCAACCAAATAAGACCCAGCTGATCAGCTGGGACTCAATGGGAGGCAGAGAATAGATGGGGTTGGCTGGGCCAGTCAGAGGCAGTATTTGCTGGTTCTCCGAACTACTCTAAATTTCCACGACCGGTTCTTCAGAACTGGTCAGAACCGACTGAATATCACCTCTGGTGTAAAGTCACCCTTTCCCCCTCTGAAAATGTTGCAAAATTGAACATTCAGGGTCCTAATCAAACCCCTTCAACCATGACATCTTACAGCTTCTCAAAATTATGTTTTAACTGGTTGGTTAAATCTGCCTGTCGTTTTAAGCCATGCTAGTCCGTTGCATCAAGACAGTCACTATTAATATGGTTATTTTTTTCTACTAAAAAATTAAGTGCAGGACAGCAAAGGAAACAACAGATTACAATAAAGTAAAAGGTAGGCTGCCAATCAGGTAAGCATTTTCCAATAGAAAGAAGAGATAAATCAGATCCTGTGACACCTGTTTGCAACGTAACTAGCCATCTATTATGTCTGCCATCTGCCTGGAAGTTGGCTACCCTATTTCTTAAAAATATATATCGATTACATGGAGTACCGAGGGGGATCATATCAGATCGAAGGCTGCGGTTTACTGCTCGGTTTTGGCAGGAGTTCATCCAGTTGATAGGTTCATCACAGGGGTTAAGTACTGCTTATCACCCAAGAACGAATGGTGCTAATGAATGAACTAATGCAGCAATTGAACAATATCTACGCTGTTATGTGTCCTATCAGCCAAATGACTGGTCTGAATTGCTACCATTTGCTGTAGCGCTTCAGTAGCGCTCAAACAGAGTTAGAACTTCACAAATTAAGTTCAAGTTAAAATTAAGCAAGGCGTAAAACAATGCGCACAACCATGCAATGAAACAGAGCCCCATCCAGAAACCACAATATCCACAGTCAAAGGAACCCCCATTGTACTTAGCATTATACAGGTAGTCCTCAACTTACAACCACAGTTCACAATTGAGCCCAAAATTTCTGTTGTTAAGTGAGGCATTTGTGAAGCGAGCTTTGCCCCTTTTTACAACTTTTCTTGCCATGGTTGTTAAGTGAATCAGTTCTTAAAGTAGTAACACGGTTGTTAAGTGAATTTAGTTTCTTCATTGACTCTGCTGGTCAGAAGGTTGCAAAAGGGGATCACATGATTCGGGATATTGCAACTTTCATGAAGGTGAGTCAGTTGTCAAGCATCCAATGCAAATCATGCAACCATGGGGATGCTGCAATGGTCATAAGTGTGATGACCGTAAGTCACTTTTTTCAGTGCTGTTGTAAATTTGAATGGTCACTAAATGAACTGTTGTAAGTCGAGGACTAACTGCATCAGTATATTAATACATATTAATAAATATTTTGCATTTCAAAGACTTTTGTCAAACACCGGAGGAAATCAGGAGATTCAGGCAGTTCGAACAAGTCCAAAAGATTTATTGCAAGCTGAAGCTCTCTACAAGAATCTGGCCAACTAATAGTTAAGGGAAATGAGCGGGATATAAGAAAGGCATTCAAAGTGGGCTGGACTTAGATCTTTTCTGGGCATGCATGGACTCGTGACTTAGGACGCATTTGACTCCTCTCTTGAGCTCAGCCTGGTCATCTCCTACAACTCTAATTTCAATCCTTGACATGAGGGTTAGAAAGACTCCTATGTCAGGGCTCCGGTAGTTACCCCCATTTAAATCACAAGTCTCTAGCCAAATTTTCAAAACTTAAAAAAGATTTATTAGGGGTAAACATGCCGGTGCTGCCTGGGTATAGCTGACTCTGAGACACATCATTCATTGTCACCCTTGATCCTGGGTTTCCCCCACCCCCTGGGTGTATCATAATTCATATTCTCCAATGGGACACATCCATAGCCAAGAGTCATCAATCATGTCCTCCAGTTAGATTTTGCACAGCAGAAACTTTAGTCACCTAGAAACTATCTTTAAAAACATTTATGGAATGCAAGTTGCCCATTGCTCCCCCTTCCCTTCCTGTTGGCAACTCTAAAAAGACCATAGACATATTTTATGAGTTGACATCCTATTTGAAATACTGGACGGGTGCTGCCAATCAGTGTCAACCATAGAGGTGATATAGACAGAAAGTCTGCTTTTAAAAAAAGTGTAAGCTCTTTGTAGAACAATTTCAACCTGCTTATGAAAGGCCCCTAATTCAAACTTTGGTATCTCCAGTTAAGGTTGGCCTAGGTCCTGCCACCAACCTTAGAAAACAGTTGAATTGTGCTCTGACTCCCTAGGAAACAGCTTCTGAAGATCAGAATACTCTTCTCTTTACAAAAATAAAAAATAAATAAATACAAGCATCCCAGCATCTCCCTTGTTTGAAAACCCCCTTTACCTTTTCCAGTTTCTCAAAATGTTCCCTCAAGAACTTCATCGGCCGGTCGGGTTTAGCAATGCAGAGGTTCACAATACACTCCTTCAGGATTTGCTGAATGTTGTGCTTCTGAACGTAGAGCTCACATCCTTTCAAGCTCTCGTCTTCTTCTGCATTGCAGGAGGAGGAGGAGGAGGAAGCGGCCGCCATCTTCCTGAGGGTCAACGGATAACAACCCTGGAGGAGGAAGAGGAGGAGGAGAAGGAGGCAGTGGGATGTGAGAAGAGGGATGACATCCCTCTTCAAATGCTTCCTGGAACAGGAGAACATCTCCTCCGAGGGAAAAGCCCCCCCTCTCCGCTCCCAGCTCTTTGAAAACGTCTGGAACGCATCATGCGTGATGTCCTCTGGCTGGAGCACCAGCAAATGCTCCACGGTTTACAAATCTCTTTATTCGAGATATTATTTTTTTAAAAAAAAAACAGTGCAGCCTCTATTTCTCCAAGCTTCTCTCATTCCTGCAGCCTGGAAGCCCAGAACCCTTGTGAGCATCACTCCTTCCCGTGAGACCGATTTGCCTTTGAAAATTGGGGAATAGAAGAACAGGGGCTCATAGATATTGGAATTTTGTTTTTCCCCTTTTGAGGCCACAAAATCCACCCTGTGGTTCAAACTGGCTGCATGGCCATCACATCCTTAACCGTTCAGGAGTATCCTCCTGCATCCGTTGGTGGGCAGACCCAACCTCCTGTTCTAGGGTTACCTCCTGAGAAAACATGGTTTATTATTTCATCTCTCATGGGAAGGAAGCCACCTCTTCCTCACTGGAGCCAGCAAAGCTGGATTTCTCACATGGGTTTCTTCTACCAGTGCTTTCTATCTTTTTTGCAACGTTTTGGATGGCAGGTTCAACCAAAACGGAAAGGTTTTGTCACATCCCCTGGAATTTGCGAGAGAGCAAGAAAGCAGATTCCCCCGACATCATTCATTTATGGATTTGGGGTCCAAAATTCCAAAGGCTTTTGGCTCACAGGGACCCCTACCTCAAAAAGAATCTATCTTTGGAAGATGATGGTCGGGGCTATTAAAACCCACATTCATCTTCCCCAGTCAGAGAATAATAGCGCGTACCTTCCCACGGAATCTTCGAAGGCAGAATCGGAATTAAATTTTCGACTCCAGGGTTCTCTGCTATCGTCAAAGAGGGCTGAGTAGGGAGGTCTCTCTCTCTCTCTCTCTCTCTCTCTCTCTCTCTCTCGTATAACAAAAAAACAAAAAGCAGAAAAGCATCCCAGGATTGTCATGCCTGATTATTATTGCATTCTTTTTGAAATGGTGGGGTAAGAAATCCTCCATCCCTTGCTTCCAGCATGCTTCCTTCTCTCCCTGGCTATGCATGGAAAGGGAAGGGCGGGGGGAAAACCTTCTGCCTTCCTCCTGTAAACCTTTGGTCCTGTACCTCCATCAGCAATAGCACTTTTGTGCAGAATTAAAATCTCAGCCATTGTTGCTGGGAGAAGGAGGGAATGAGGATGGAGAGGGAGAGAGAGAGAGAGAGCATGCAAATATACACAAAGGAGAAGCGCGCGGGGGGGGGGGGTAAGCGCAGGCTTGGATGGACAGGGAGTGTATAAATACCTGATGTTTGGCTCAGCCAGCAGCTTCTTCCAGCTCCTCCCGTTATTCGCAGTAGAAATCTCTTCCAGCTGCTAGGTGGCTTGAGGTGGGGGCTACATTTCCTTCTCCCCACAATGATCTGGGTATCTTCTTAGGGGGGTAAAAATAAATCCCCAGCTAAAAGACAATGGAGTCAGGCAATCACCCCCCACCCCCGTCCTTAGATGATCTCACTGTCTATTTTCCCCCCAACTCCCCTTCTGAGTGTGTGTTTCCCTTCCCCCCTCCCCTCTTTTTTTCACACAAAGCGTTAAAAAAAAAATCTCTGTCTCCAACATCCATTCCTTGCGCAGAAACTTACCACCGTCATACCAAGCTCAACCTCTTCTCTCTCTCTCTCTCTTTTTTTTCCCTGCAGGGAAAAAATAAACTCCAGCTGGAAAGGAACCAGCTCTAAGCTTGGTTGGATGAGGTCCAGTGGGGGGATTCCCAACTGGGAGGAAATCGCATCCTTTAAGGGGGTGGAAATGAAGATCCAAGGGTGGGCAGAGGGGCAGTGGACAATTTTTTCCCCCAAACGAAATGATTGGTTTTGCTTTGGAGTGTGTCTCTGTAATGTGTGGCACCAGTTAAATTATTATTTTTTTTAACAAAAAAAGCGTATCGGTGAATATCAAGCCAGGGTTGGAAGGATGAAAAGGAAGAGGGGACTTTTTATCATGCACGTGTTGGAAGTTAAAACCCACCCCTCTCCTAGGAAAATGAAATATTTTAGGATATACTAAAAAGGCAGAATATTTCCCCTTTAAAAAAAAAACTCAGAGAGGCAGAAACTCAGCCCCCCACCCTTGCCTTTGCTAATGGACCATTACTCTGGCCTAGGCCAGTCTATTTTACATAACAAAGATCTACTCCAGGTAAAGCTATAATAGGAATTGCCCAAAGCCCTTTCATTACATCATCATCATCCAGCAAGGCTCAACCAAGCTTGGGATTCAGGATAGCCTACAGAGTTGCCCCTGCATGGCCCCATGGGAGCTTGACAACCAATCGGAATACTAGCTCAAATTCAAATCCCAACAGAGGGTATAAAACAATTGCACTCTCAGCATATCAGCCCTTCTTTCTTCACCCAAGGCATGTGATCCTGTCCACCACTAAACCATCTTTCCAAGCAGTCACCATGTTTCCAGTGTCTTTCTTCCCCACTTGGAACTGAACCCAGAAGGATATTTCTTCCAACACACTGTAGACTTGTAAAAAAAAAAAAAAGCAAAAGAAATGGGTGCAAATGGCACAGAAGATATTACAGATGGATGTCATGATTTAAGCAAAATTATTCTTACTGGGAATTAAGGACAAGGAATTAGAAAATAAATATGGGAAATTCACACTGTTGTATTTGAGGCAAGATAGGCAAAAAAAAATTGAAAAAGCAGTGAAACGACGAGTGGAACATTAAAAAATTAACTCAGTTTGGATAAATGGCAGAGATGACCAGTTTGACTTATAAAAGAAAAAAGACTGGTACTCTGAAATAGACTTGTTGGTATTGTACTCAAATAATATCACAAAACATGACTGAATAGACAACCTTTACAAGTGTCCTATTGAGTAATAATTGCAGGACCTCAGTAATTTTTGATGCAGTTCTTGAAAGATACGAATGTATCTAGTTGTATAAATACAAAAAATATATTTATTTAGATTGTTATATATTGTATCACTGTCAAAGTTCTTCTGAAAAAACAATGCACATTTTGCAACATTAGATGTGCCAAAGAATATATTTGCAATCCATAAACAGAACTGTTGTAAATCCAGGACGGCCTAATACAGATATGTTTATTCTCCTACCTAGGGCAGAGGTCTATAAACTTGGCAACTTTAAGACTTGTGGACTTCAACTCCCAGAATTCCTCAGCCAGCTATGCAGTTGCCAAGTTTGGAGACCTCTGTCCTAGAGAATGCCGGGAGTTGAAGTCCTTCTCCCCTCCCACCCAAGCCTGAGGCAAAAGTTCTCCCGGCCTTCCGGCGCGGGGAGCCGTCAAGCGCGGGAGCCGTCAAGCGCGCGTCGCCTGTCGCAAAAACCCGCCGCGCGGGCCCTTAGCAACGGCCCGGCGGCCTAGCAACGCCTGCTTTCCCCTCCGCATGGCCGAGCCGGACGAAGAGGGCCGCGGCGCTTCGGCGACCGAGCTCGGCCAGGCGGTGTCGCGGCAGCTGCCCGGGCTGCAGGAGGAGTCTCGGGCGGCGCGTCTGAGGGCGCTGGGCGCGCTGAGAGCCCTGATGACGGAAGGGCCTCCGCCGGCGGTGCGCGAGGTCTTCGGGCCGGCGCTGCTGCGGCCGCTGACCCGCTGCCTCGCGGGCGACCCTGCCGAGCGGTGCCGCGAACTGGCGCTGGAGCTGCTCCGCCTGGGGCTGGGCCAGGGCGCCCACCCGTCGGAGGCGCTGCCCGTGCTGATGCCGGCGCTGGCTCAGCGGCTCGGGCTGCCCCAGGGCCCCGGCGAGGCCTGCGAGGAGCTCCGCCTCGGGCTCCTCCAGCTGCTCACCGAGCTCCTCCGCCGCTGCGACCGCCGCGCCCTGGCGCCCTTCCTGCCCGAGGCGGTGGGCATCCTCCGAGCGGCCCTGCTCGACCCTTTCCCGCCCGCCAAGCGAGAGGGCTGCCAGGCGGCCGCCGCAGCCGCCTACGCCCTGCCAGGTGGGGCCCCCGGCCGCGCAGCTTTCGCACCCGGGGCCCGGCAGGGGAGGATGGGAGCGGGGATGCCCGGCTCACGGAGAAGGGGAGGGAGAGGGCGGGCTTCCTTGGGGGGGGGGGGACGATTCTGAGGAGCTTTTTGTCTCGCCGTAAATGTACGTGTGGGGTTTGTGTGTGTGTGTGTGTGTGTGTGAATTTATATTTTATATATATAGAATATACAATACATACATACACATACACACACACACACACACACACACACAGAGGGCGCCCGCAGTTGCCCTGCGGTAAGAGGGGTGGCCAGTAAATTCAATGACAGGCATACCTGACATGATCAGGGGTGTCCAACCTTGGCAACTTTTAAGATTTGTGGGTGTCATTTCCCAGAGCTCTTTGGCTAGCCAGGGTATGATGGGGATTGAAATCCACGCGTCTTAAAAGATGCCTGGTAAGTAGGTAAGTAAGTAGATAGGTAGGTGGATGGATGGCTGGATGGGAGGGTAGGTAGGTAGATAGATAGAGATGGATGGTTGGATGGATAGATATTGAGGGAGGGGTGATAGGTGGATGGATAGTAGACAGATAAACAGACAAGATAGGTACATTAGATTGGTTGGTTGATTGATTAATTTTTGGGATGGATGGATATAGAGATAGGTAGACAGATGGTAGGTATGTAGGTGGATGGACGAATGGATATAGAGATAGATAGATAGATAGATAGATAGATAGATAGATAGATAGATAGA